GGGGGCTCAGTTAAGAAGGGGTTAATTAATGGTTTTTACGGATTAATTAAAAAAATGAGAGGATAGTTTTCCATATAGGGTTCACTTGATATTCTCTGTTCCTGTTGTGGTTGCTAGGATTTTGATCGCTAGGTCACCTGGGTGTTTTCTTTGTAATATTCTTAACATTTAGTCAACTTTCTTGCCTGATCCTGCTGAATGATATGCCCGGTGTTCATCATGTGTTCAGCCCGGGCCGACTGTTCTAAATGCCCATATCTGGAGCACCACTGATGTTTTTTGATTCATACACTGATCATCCTCCCAGTTTTTCTAATGTACACTTTTCCATATGAGCAGCGGATCTCGTCCACTTCTGGTGTGCTTAAGAGTAGCCTTGGAACCTTTGCACTTGGCAGCATTTGTCCAACCTCTTTGGAGGTTGGACGATGGTTCAGATATTTTGCTTGCCGAGGACTTTGCTGATGCGGCCCGTTGTGCTTTTGAAATAGGCGAGGAGGGAATCAAGTTCACCATGAAAGTAAAATAGACAAGGGGTCTCCCATTTCTGGATATCCTAGTTACCATTTCCTACCACCAACCTCCTCAATATAACTCTGTGATCAGCTTCCTGATGTATAGGACCCTCTCAAGTTTCTAACCAGGAAAAACTAAAACTGCCCCCCCCCCCCCCCCCCGCCACCCTATTTCCAAGGCACAACAGACTGCATAAGCAAAATACTCGGCAAGCACAACGCTGACAAATGCTGCTAAGTGCAAAGGATCCAATACCAATCTTGAGCAGACGAGGAGTGTACGAAGTCCTCTGTTTATGTAGAAAAGTGTACATTGTAGAAATCGAGAAGGTGATCAGTACTCGGATCAAGGAACATCAGTGGGGCTCCAAATATGGGCCCTTAAAACAGTTTGCTCTGACAGACCCGCGAATGAACACTGGTCGTACTATTCAGTACGATCATACTAATAGGTTGGCTACATCTGAAGGATGTATCGCAAGACAACATCACGAAGCTCTAGAGATCCATAAAAACGTTAACAATTTTAACAGGGATAGAGAATATCAAATGAACCGCAGCGAGAAGACCATCCTCCCGGTTTTTTACTTGATCAATTAAAAAAAGTAATCACGCATTATTAACTTGATCATTCAATGGTGAGTCCCCCTTGCCTGCTGCCATGCTCCAAGCACTCTTACCACTACCACGAGAGGAGAGAGTTGTAACGTGTCATTTTCGAATGGGGTTGAAAATATCTGTTACCTTTGCCCTACTTCCCCTAAGCCTAATGAAGCGTGCTAGAATTTAAATAATCGGGGACCAGCTAATTTTTCGCCGGAATTACCAAACCGGAAAACTAGGAACTCTAAAACATCATTAACCTCGAAATTCCCGACATGGAAAATCGTACTTCCAAATCCGCTAAATCTCAAATCTAACATATCAATGAAAACCGGAAACGGGGAATCGAAAAGGGTACGGTAGGGATATCTATGCTTTAGGGTAAAGATGATGGTCCTGGATTGCTCAGTGTGCCGGGTCTACGGAGAGGGGTGGATCTTCGCTGGGGACAAGGTTATTGGAAAAAGCGTGCAACGAGCAAAGAGAAGAACCAAGAAATGAAAATAACTCGAAAATTGTCCTTACGTATTTCACTATGGAAATTCGTAATGAAGTAGAATGTAAATGATTACTTACAAGAAACAACGCAATTACATAATACATCAGTACAGGGATTTCATTATAAAGTTAATTACTCGGAAATATAAATTCGTCCCAATCGGAAGGTCTAAATAAATTTGTTAAATCATTCGCATGCACCCAAAACAACTGCATTGGATTGCGGCCTCAGGGATTGTCGACCGACAATAATCCAAGGAATATGTGTATTATTCTTGCCGTCTCGGGAAAACGATAATTTCCCGGAATTGGACCCACTACGCCTCAGACAGAGAGAGAAAGGATGTTCCGCCTCCCCGCTCGATTAGCTGCAAGGACACATTCCACAACGGGAAACCCAAGCTCCTATAAAAATCCAAAACGTTCAGCCAGAGAGCTCGGGATACTACCCCTAATAACCCCACAAAACTATAGGCATAAAGATGCACAACTAACCACGCTAGACTAATTAATAGCCACGTGGATTTTGAATGCGTAAAACATTGAGAACTTCTTCTAAGCATGCCACCAACCGCACTGGGGAAAAGCACACATCGATTGTACTCGGAAAACCACCCCTATTCCTGCCCCCTCAAATCACCCACATCAGGGGGAACTGCCGACGCCATTTCCGGGCTCGAAAAAATACTAACCACCACTTATCACCGGGGAGCCGCCAAAAAGGAAAAAATTATTAAAATTAATTTGTTATGCCTCAGAAATATAATTAATTATGAAATAGAAATAACTAATTCCTAAATGATTTAAATACCACCCGAGGGCTCTCCAGATTTAAAACAAAGAGAAAATACTTCTTGCAATCGAATCCAGGATGAAATATAAACTCGTGAATTCATTGCCATTGGGTCAGTTAGTCAGCTTGTCATATACAGCTAATTAGTACTACGACGACTGGTTAACTAATTTTCTTGCAACTTATAATGCCTGATACCTATGGGATCAGACAAAGTTTTTATTTATTTGAATAAATCGTTTAATTGCTAAAGGAGTTGACTCTCCCTGAGTGATTGTCATTTCTAATTATCTAGGAGTAATCTATCAACGAACCCGTCCGCTCGGGTCCATTACAAATTTCTCGCTCCTATTTCTTCTGGTTGATTCTTCTGGGTTCTCGGGATTAAAACGACCCAATTCCTAATCTTTTTCCCTAGCCCGTAATCAGTCTTGGCAATCCGTCGGGGTCATGAGTAAGTTACCCCGCACGGCCTTCCACCCCTGCCCATTTAATCCCAAAAACCCTTTTTGCGGAGCGCCACCATTTTAGCCAGACCTATCACAACCCTGAACACTCAATTGATGTTCTTTTTATCTCCAAAAGTCCTAACATCATTATTCTATTCCTCGCCCACACTCTCTTTCTCTTGATTTTTTTGGGGATCGGAACGTACATCCCCACTGCTCGTTACAGAGTATATCAGGACTATCCTCAAATATTAGTCAGAACCTCAAACATCAGAATTGAAGCCCTTAGCATGCCGATGGCAAGTCAGAAAGTGCAGTTGTCCCACAACGTCCCTCGAAGTTGATTTGCAAAGTTAGTGTAAAAAAATATTGCTCTCTTTGTCAAATTTCGACATTAATTATAACTTTTTGTATAGTGACAATCGACTTGAATCCGATAATAAGTCGAGGAATGAATAGTGTCGCAAAATACCCGGTTACACTACAATAATTTTTTTTCTTTAGGATTTGGAAAGACATGAGCTTAAATGACAGCCTCACAGACGTGGAGCGGGCCCAGCTCGCGGTCTGGGATTATCCAGTAAGCGACAGATACACGAAGATGTTTCAGGCAATGAAAGAAGCAGGCTTTCCCACGAGTAAAGAGGAGGCGGTGCGGAGAGTTCGCAAAGAAATCGTCAATTCCTCACAAACCGAATTTGCATTTATTGGTGATGCTACTGATATCAGATACCTGGAAATGACTAACTGTGATTTGGTCATGGTTGGTGATGAATTTTCCCGAAAACCCTATGCGATCGCCGTGCAACAAGGCTCACCATTGAAGGATCAATTTAATAATGCGTGAGTAAATTTGTTTTTATCATTCGACAAAAATTGTAATGTACCCAAGCAGGTTGAGTTCGATGCTGGGAATAGATCACATATGTTTAATTATTGGAAACTGATATCTCTCACAGAATATCGACTGCTCAGATACTTGAACGTTTCGATGAATAACTGGGACTTTGTCCTATCCCGAAGTTCACGATGAATTATGCAAGTGACGTTGTGAATCTTCGAATTAGTCACTGACCCAAGAACAATGAAGTTATAAATTTCTATCACAGCGTAGATCAGGTTTGCATCAGGCGAGATCCCAGATATATCGGACGGTGTAGCCGTTATTGGGGCGAAGTACCGTGGATATTATATAGGAATCGTATTCGTTAATATTCGGTCCAATTTAATTTCGGATCAACATGAGTACTCAGCATTACTTCATGTATTTTCTAATATCTAATGGTAAAATCAGCGGTTCTACTTGTGTCGATATGCTGGACCCTCACAATTTCCACATCCTCCAATGTATCTTGGATCTTTTGGTTTTCGCAGGTTTCTACGGTGCCTGCATGGGTTATATTTCTTCATCCTAATTAAAATAAATTCTGGAATCTGAACACGATATATCACAATGTATAACGACTTTTTCCGCACATTTTTTCATATATGATGTAACGTATGTAAGGGTCTCCTCCTGGGGTACTTAACAGAGAATATTTGATCGTTACAACCAATCTTCATGCTTCTAATTTCGTGGGACGACAGAATGGCCTTTTCCGAAAGTTTGCCACAAACCGCCCCTCGGGCCCTTGGAGTCCACGGTTCCCCCAAGGAATTGTAGGCCGCTGAACATGCCACACGCCGCAGCTAAACTCACCTGCCACTCTATGCACTCTTATGTGTACTCCCTTTCCCCGCGAAGAGTTTCCACACCTTCGAAGGCGATCCTCTAGTTATATTGTATTGGGATTGATGGATGATGAATTTGTCACCGCCAATCATCCTTTTCGTTGCGTTAATTACCTGGTACGTGGATTCACGTGTTGGCAAATCACCCATTTGGTGGGCAATCAGAGCGAATGAGTGCTAAAAATTAATTAGGAGGACACTAAAGAAACGCTGGAGAGCCACTGTTGATTGCTTTACGATTGTTTGGCATATTAGATAGTAGTCGAATCTTCCTCGTAACTCTATCTCCCATCTCAAAACGAACGCTACGATGATGAGTATTATAATAATTCCCTGGTTTTCGGGTGCTTGATTCAGATTTTCAATTACTAAATCGTATAGTTCCGACATATGTTCCATACGCGTTGTCCACCTTTGGTATCCGGTACAACCACACTCACATCCGCTTTCGTCAACTTACAAAAGAACAACGGGGGTTGTGCAGATGACAAATGCAACGCACTACGGGACGCCGAATTATACGCGAAACGAAACTGTGAAATGTGCGCGTCCCACTCGCGATGATCCTGTTCCATAAAAGAAATTAACATAATCTTAAGAACACGACTTACGCTTTCAAGAGGATTCGCTTGTTCGTGGTATGGCGAGGTTGTCTGATGCTTAAAACCCAAATTACTTGCTAGTTCCCTCATACAGTTATTTGAAAACTCATTGCCGTTATCCATCAACAACAATTCTAGCTTTCCGTAACGGTGGACCACTAAGTCCTCAAAATTTTTAATGATCGGCTGATCATTATCTTTCCTGATAGCCGCTAACTCAATCATTTTCGGAAACACATCCGGAAAAACTAACAAGTAACGAAGCCCTATCTTAGAGGGCGGAGAAGGGCCCACAATGTCAGACGCGGCAAATACTGAACGCTCTTAAATGCATCTCTAGCCAACTATGAATTTTAAAGAAACCAACAGCAACCTGCTCGAATACATGTTTGCTTCCCGCATAAGTCAAAGTTTATGATAATACATGGGCCTGGTTAGGAATGTAAACACAGCAGGGATATATGTCGGGTAGTTAAGCAAATTTTTCATTCGATACTAAGCTTGATAGTGGTAAGAAGCATCAATACGTCAGTTCAAAAACTGTGTGAAAAAGGAAAAATGGAAGAGTCCAACCAAGAAGGATCGATAGACGGATACATTCCAACCGTCCGTTCCGGTAAGTATTACGATTTTGCATATTTGCAATTTGAATCATGATTTAATATTGGATTACTCATAGATCCGGCAATATCGGGACAGCAATAGGGTCCACACGTGGTGACAGTGGAAACTGATGGTAAGTAAACTTTTCTTTTGCAATTTTTACTCACTTGTTATTTTTCTCATGATTCGTATTTTTCTTGCAGAGTGGCACCCGCAGTGCACTCGAGCAGATTCAACTCTACTCACCCATGAACCCGCTACCTGGCGCAGAATCTAGATTCCGCAAGATAAGTGATAGTATCAAAGAATTTAGACGTTTTAAATCATTGAGATGCGAAATGGTGTTCAAAATATCGAAACCCCAAGAAGATGGAGCAGATATCAATTGGATTAACTCGCTCGCTAAAGATATTTTAAAAATAATTAAAGAACACGTCGATCACGATCATGCATGTGGCGCTCAATCCAGGTAGAGTGGCACGCTCCATTGTGGTGGAAAAAAAGCATGTTTCTAGAAGAAAACATGCACTATAACCATTGATGAATGGAATAGCATTCATCTTTGAAATGGAACGGTGCAGGCTTGTAAAGGTGCTGCTTTAGGGAGAGCTTCGGGTACCCCGCTACTTATTAATGCATTCTCATTGATGAAAAAATTGCTCTCATAGTGTGGCAAGTGGTCAAAAAACCCTGTAGTCATGTATGATGGTCGCATAGCATTCGATGGCAAATCCGACTGTGTTGCATTAGATATCGGTTATTTTCCCCTGGATAATCATTATCCGCCCATTACAGATGTTAAAAAACTGTTCAATGGTGCTGAATATTTTTGTCGCGTGTATATTTACACGCGTAGAAATGGTTTTAAAACCCCTGCTTGCGACCGTCATGCACTCTATAGGCACTGCAATCTCTGCACTCGCTATTTCTACGGGGACAATTGTTTCGATTTTTTTTCCCGTCAAATTTCAGCTAATCGAATTGCACCATTCAACGAGGTTACTCCGTATTATACTGATAAATTTTCGATAATTTTGTCACTTCCCTATATATATATATAAAACAAAAAACTGTTGGATTGGGTTAACCACTGATTGGAATCGACAGATTGAATTTAATTCTGTTATTTATCGAGTATTTCTTGAAAAATGAATAGATTTGGTGATTCTTCTCTGTCAAAGATAGATGGGAAGATGTGAAAGATAGATAGGAGTGAAGGGAAATGTCCCCATTAATACTGCCATGTCGAAATCGTCGGTTTGGAATCAGTTTTCTGCTTTTTTGTAATGCAAGAAAATACACATTAGATGCTGACACTTCTGAAGAGCAAGTGGCAACAATACACCGACGTCGGTAGCTCAGTGGCTAGGTGCGAGCCAAGTGTTCTGAAAGTTGTGAGCTCGATTCCCCGTTGAATCGAATTTTTCAACAGGCACCGATGAGCGGGAGGTTGCTAATAGTGCAACCGTCTGTACCGACATGGTTTTTTCTGTGGTTTCCCATGTCACTCCTATGTTCCATAGGAGAGTGAATACGGTACAGTGCAGGATCCACAGCCGCATGCAAAGGGTGAGATAGGGCCATTTATCCAGAACAGGGCAGAAAGGGCCGGAATAAAAAAAAAAAAAAACTGGCAAATATTCTGAAGGATTAGGGATATAACATGAATAAACAAACGGTGGGGACTGTAAGGAGAGTGTGATTAGAACGATGTGGAATCAAACAGCCAAACTGCTTCAGGAGATGTATTATGATAAGTACAAAAGGAAAATCAATCCATTCGTTGATGCCGTTTTTGAAACTGCTAGAGGGGCATGAGATGATAAACGTAGGTCTCTGCAAGCCATTTCCAAGAAAAGGAAGGCAAGCGCAGCAGCCTTCAGTGATCGGGATTGGGACTCAATGCTCGAAGTCTAGAATATGAGGAGACCCCTGAAGGTTTGCAGAAAAAAATTTTTATGATCGTCTTGCTCAAGGTGACATGGAGGGGTAATGAGGGAAGTACTGTGTTGATATATCACTTGAAGAAGGAAATGCAAAGTGATGGCGAAACAACTGGCAGAGTGAAATACAACCCAATTTTCACCAAAACGACGCAGGGTGGTAACAAGACGTTGTCTGACAGCAAAGGGCTGGTAGAAAATAAGGAAACTCCTAGTAAGTGCTCAGTCAGACTGTTGAGAAAATTACGAAAGAAAAAACATGAAAAAATAAAATCGGACATGCTCTTTTTTGCTCCAAAAAAATCCACATTGGGAGAATCGACACGGTGTGGCATGGTACAAAAATACCCCAGTTGGCCACAACATAATGGCGAAATGGGTGAAAGATTTAGCGGAGAAGGCTGGGCTTGATATGAAGAACAAGAAAATCACAAACCAGTCGGGCTACAGCTGTCTCCAATTTGGCTAAAGCAGGAGGTGGTGAACAACAAATCATCAAGATTACTAGGCATGCAACTGCCAATTCAATCAAACCTTATTTATAACTGGATCAAAACCATCATGAATTGATTCTGAAAAAATTACGAAAGAATGAGCCAAGTGGGGTAAACATCATGGACACCACCCTAACTTCTATTTCTACTTGTACTTCTACTTCTACTTCTTCTGCAGCTGTGAATAACAATGTTGATTCTAAGAAAACGAATCTCTATAATAATTGTACTTTCTATTGCACTAATTTGAATATGAATTACAATGTTTTGTCTTTCTCAAAAAGCTTTCCTCATTTTTGAATAAAAAGTTCGTTTCATGGTGCAATTCTACTGACTGAAATTTGGCGGGAAAAATAATCCCCCGAATACCACTCGAGCGTTGAAATTTATGGAAATATTTACCTCAAGGTTCCCAGCACACAAATAAGTTTGTCCAGTTTTCCCGAAAAATCACGAGTGCAAAGTACGAATTTGTTTGCAACGCACCTATTTGCAATTATTCCGATAATTTCAAACCTCTCGTGGTATTATAAGCGATAGTCATGTTGCCATAGGCCCTCAAAACGGAACTTCGCACACTTTGCCAGCGTGGGAGGTATTGTGGTAGCTGTGGTAGAAAAATTGACTTGAGGGTGCTCCATGGCTGTAATGAATCGCACTGCTCCATCGGTG